TTTAAAGAAGATTTATTTCGGAGATAAAAAGGTGAGCTTTACTATAAAAAAATGGTGATATTGATATCAGGTTATCAAATGGAATAGTCTGGAATCATAGTGAATTTAGAAATGTCCTAAATCTAAAAAGGAGTTCGATCTCGGTAAGTTAGTTGACAAAGACAGGGGATGTGACTACTTTCACATGTGATTGATGGAAGATGGCTAGAGCGCAATGATGATGTCTCAGGGTAACATTGAAGACACCTTTTACCTGATAGTTGAAATGGTAGAATCAACTGATGTGGTTTGAACCAAGGTTGATACAGGTCTTCGACACCACAGTCTTGGTCAAATAAGCGAGAAAGATATGAAGTCCATAATTTCTAAGAATAAACTTTAGGGTTTGAAGTTTATAGAGCCAGATTTCTGTAAGATTGTGTATATACCAATTATAATGAAATTTTATTCTTTAAAGGTGGGTCAATGGTGAATCCCATATGCTGGAGTTAGTGCATACTAATATATGGGATCCAAATCTAATTTAGTCCATTAGAGGTTCCCACTGCCTTATCACTTTTATTGATGATCACACCAAAAATTTTGAGTTCATTACTTAAAGCATAAATCTGATTTATTTAGAGTGTTTAAGAAGCGCAAGGTCATGAAAGAGAATGAAATGGGCTTGAGGCTAAAGTATCTTAGATCATATAATGACGGTGAGTATCATGATCATAGTTTCAAGAGTTACAACGCTTCAGAGGTGATCAGGCATGAGTTCACTGATCCAAGGAAATTACAACATGCCAACATGCACACGCCCTCACTTGCTGCACCCTTGCTCAATCGCCTGCTTGCCCATGCACGTGCTTATGCCTACATGCCACTATGCATGTTTGCATGCACTCTTATGTCCTCATCTGCATGGTGTGTATACTCTTCTTCCAATAACTGTATGAATTTTTAGAATATCTAAATTTAAGATTGAGATTTTTTCGATACCTTATATTTTCGGATGACAAACAACGTCATCCAATTATATTTTGTCATCTGAAATATAAAGCAAATGATGTTTCATCAATAAATTTATCATTAGACACAAATCTCCATATATTTTTAGTAAGAATTATTCCTAAATCAATTTTAGGATCATATGGGCCTCAATTTTAACAAGTATATAATTAAACTAAGCATTTCGAAATGTTGAATCCAACGATGCTAAAAGTGATCAATCCGTGTCTAAATAAGCCCAAATCAAGTACTTAGAGTATTTTTAAAGACTTTGGTGTATTAATTGGAAGGTTAAATGATCTTAAATATTAACATACTTATAGTCAAATCAAGGGTCTCGATGAGAGGAACCAATGAGACTAAGATCATTTTATTCAAAGATTAAGGCACTGATTAAATGATGTACATGTGATTAAGGGAATCATTGTGGATTGTCTGATTGAGTGTTTTGAAAGATTGGCCAATTTTAGCAAAATGCCCTTCTAAAAAACTATAAATATACAACATTCTTCACTTGAGGAGGGAGGGAGGGAAGAGAGTGAGCTGACTAGTAATGTTAACTCTGAAAGTTTTGATAGTTGTCGTCGATCACCAAAGTTTGTTGTCAATCTTTAAAGTTCATCGTGGGCCATCAAAGGTCACCGTCGACCACTACAAACAATTGTTATGACAAACTATAGTATATGTAGCCAACTATTGCTATTGTAGTTACCAATTACAACTCTTATAGCCCAATAATGGTTGTTGTAGTTAAACTACTATTATAAAACATTGATCGTATCTTTCATAATTCAAGAAAAAGTGGACTTATGAACTTTCAACTTTTAGTTGTTTACTTTAATCGGGCAAGACTCTATGATTTTTTCACATAAAAAAGTTTGATTATTTCTTACATCTCTATTTGTGTGTTTTTTGATAAATTATACCACAACAAGTGTAATTTTAACTACACAAATTTGATTAAAAAACTTCAAGAAATTAATCCAATGAATATCATTTTAATATATTTCAAGTTGAAATGAAGATCCGGTCAAGATGTTTCCTATGACAGCAAGATTGTGTAATTTTGAAATAAAGGGCCTTTGATTCATTAGAATTTTGTCATGTTTATCTTTATTCAAAGAAATGAACATTTTAACACTAAGATTCTAGCATATCATTGCTATTTTATAAAATTCTATTCATAAGCAGTCATGTTTCTATGCATTTGAGCATGATTATAATATGAAAATTAAAAGAATTAATTGCAGAGAATTCTTGCATATTGACCATATTTAAAACATTAGCTAGCTGTACCTAATTTTTAGTTTGCTTAAAAGCTCAACTTTTTCTTCCTAATTACTCAGCCCATCCACCGTCCTTTCATAAGGATAATTATGTCAAATGTCTCATGAATCAAGTTGAGCTGGGATCAACGCAAAATCAGCTAAAAAAAAACATTTGATTTAAAATTTTGACTTGTTGTTTGACTCATTTATTTCAATCCGATCTCGACACGAGCCAAAATTTGAGTTAATTTTTGAATGATTAATGATTTTCAAGCAAAATTTGTTAAATTCATAGCAGTAACATCACTAGGGTTGTTAATGATCTTGGGGTGGGTTTGAAATTGACTTGAAAAAAACTCAATCCAAAATTTTGACTTGTTTAATTCGGTCCAATCTTGATCCAAGCCAAAATTAAATTCAATTTTCAAACCATTAGCAATCTTATAGCTAATTTCACTTTCCTAGTTTTAAGCAAGCAATAATTGGGAACAATTTGCTACTGTTTTAAATATGTTCAAAATGCTAGAATTTTCTATAATTAAAACTCTTTTCATACTATGATTTTGCCGACATGGATAGAAACGTGACTATTTATAAAAAAAAAAATATATATTTATATTTTTTCTTTATGCCAATTAATTTTTAAATATTTATAAATCTAATATCTAAACTTTTATATTTACAATTATAAATCAGATTTTTATCTTTTATAAAAAATATTTCTATAATTAATTTTGTTTCAAAAGTAAAATATATTTTGTGGATTAATTTATGATTATAAATATTATATATAAATACTAAAAACTGTTTCACAGGTACGATTTATGTATATATATAAAGTTAAAAACTGTTTCGACAAAATGTTTTGTAGCTTCGAAGGCACTAAATTTCATATACACATAACTTTAACCTAAACACTTTTCTACCTGCTTTTCACACAATAAGAAAATAATTATTTCCAACTTATTTCATATTTCATTTGTGTTTGAATGTAATACAAAGCGTTAATTGTTATAGTATTGACAATATAAAGTACTAATTGTTGATATATACAATAAAAAAAATGCATTCATAGCTATAAGAAGTTCAAGGTGAGAAGGGGATATACAAAAACAGCTTACGTCACATATTCTCTTTAGACAATTTAAGTCTATTTGACAAAGTTCTTTGTAGCTTCAAAAACCCTATATTCCATTTACATATAAACTCAACCCAAGGATAATTCTATCATCTTCTCGTAATAAGAAGTATTGCATGATAAAAATAAATATAAATAAGCTGCACTGAGATTTAAATAAATTAATATAAAAACATAAACAATAAAGTGCAAGACAAGATCTTCATGATACGTGCAGCATTTTAACATAACAGAAATAACTTAAAATATTTTCGGACAGTGTTTTGGTATGTAATCAATAATTCATAAAAAACCACCGTAGCAATGAAATATTTCAACGTGGACAAAATAATTTTAGAAATTTAGAAAATCACTAATTATAAAATGTTAAAAATTATGTAAGATCTATATAAGTTGTAGTTACACCAAACAGTCGAGGAACTATTTCAATCTTCTTCTGCGCCGTCAGGTTTCCAAACTGTATATAAACTCATACAATATTAAAATTTTAATTGGTATTCACTTGAATATAATTTAAATTATTTCAATTATAACAACAAAGAAGGGGGTGCAATATAAAGTGTTAATTGTTTTAGAGTATGTGATGAAAAAATGCATTTGTAGCTATAAGAACTTTCAGGTGATGAGGGGGTATGAAAATCGCTTACATCCCAATCTCCCCTTAGAAAGTTTAAGCCTTTTTGAAAAAGTTTTTTATAGCTTCAACTAAGGATAATTATATTGTGTTCTCATAATAAGAAATATTGCACAATAAAAATAAACATAAATAAAATGCATTGAGCTTTAAATAAACTTCATATAAAACTAAAGTGTTCGTACATTGCTAACAATAATGTGCAGGACAAGATCTTGATGACACGAGTAACAATTCGAATAAACAAAAATAATTTATAATAGTTTCGGATAGTATTTCGATGTGTCATTGATAATTCAAATAAATTACAAACAAAATTTTGACATAACAGAAATAGTTTAAAAAATTAAGAAATTTACGAACATTATAAGGAAATGGTGCAAAAACTTGTTCAAAAAATTAATAAAATTTTGCCATATCTTATATAATTTAAAATGGTAACCTACATTATAATAAAATAGTACAAAAATATTAATGACATGAATAAAAAAATATTAGAGGGGCACATAGGTACGTATCTTAAATATGCGCCCCCTAAGTGCTAATTTAATAATAAATAGAGTTCCTTTATATATATTTTATA